ATGGAAGCAACCTAAATGTCCATCAGTAGATGAATGGATAAAGAAGATGTGGTACATATACACAATGGAATATTATTCAGCCATAAGAAGAAAACAAATCCTACCATTTGCAACAACATGGATGGAGCTAGAGGGTATTATGCTCAGTGAAATAAGCCAGGTGGAGAAAGACAAGTACCAAATGATTTCACTCATATGTGGAGTATAAGAACAAAGCAAAACTGAAGGAACAAAACAGCAGCAGAATCACAGAACCCAAGAATGGACTAACAGTTACCAAAGGGAAAGGGACTGGGAAGGATGGGTGGGAAGGGAGGGATAAAGGGGGGGAAAGAAAGGAGGCATTATGATTAGTATGTATAATGTGGGGGGAGGCACGGGGAGGGCTGTGCAACACAGAGAAGACAAGTAGTGATTCTACAGTATCTTACTACACTGATGTATAGTGACTTTAATGGGGGTTCTGGGGGGGACTTAGTGAAGGGGGAAACCTAGTAAACATAATGTTCCTCATGTAATTGTAGATTAATGATACCAAAATAAAAAAATGAAAAAGCAAATGCTTTGGGATAAAACTTTCATTTTAAAATCTTCTTCATTAAATTCTATATTCCTCTATTGTGGTCACCAACCAATGAAGTAATTACTCTTTACACACAGTATGTGACCCAAAACTGCACTGGGTAATGGAATTGCTCTGTGTTGCATTCCAACATTTCATACTTTTTTCACTAATGTTCAATACTTTATTAGTAGAGAATAAATTGGTACATTTCTTTTATTGTCATTTTTGCTTTCCTTTGTAAACCAGTTTGGATGAAAGAAATATCATAGGATAGTTAATCATCCAAAGGCTTTGTAGTAACACTTTATTTTTTTTAATGCATTATTAAGGTTTCTTTTGAAGATGTAAGAAAAAAATTACCCATTAAAAAAGAGCTATAGCTATAAATCTGAGTACATTTGAGATTTATATTCTATAAGTTTTCCTAATGACTATAAAATTTTAAAAAATCTTAAATAGTCCATAAAGCATCAAGAATTGCAAATTTGAAATATAGTGATTCTTTCATATTCACGTATTTACTACCACATGTCACAGCAGAAAGTTAACTCAGTTTTTCTGAAAAAGTATCTACTTCCCAGCTTTGAGATATTTGGGAAAATTTAAAGACCTAAAGAATCAATAGTACCACCATACATATTTGGAGAATTCTGTTCACTGACTTTCAAATAAAATGACAAATGCCCCCAATCATTGATTCTGTTCCAAGTGGGGACAAGAAACCAAAGTGATGGGTACCAGGGGATGTGTATGACGGGCTGGGTCCCTCATCCAGCTGCATCCTGCCACAGTCATGGTGCTTTTCGTGGTCCTGCCAAGGTGATCACTATCAGCCCTGTTGATATCATAGTAAATGAATCTGGTGAACACCTGTGCTGTACCAATCAGCAGGTATGTAGAATGTTTCCTCAAAATATAATTATAAAATTAATGTTACTTCAGTTTCTAAGGTGAGAGAGTATCACACAATTACAAGTGGGGCAGCTATTAAA